CTTCAGCAGTGTCATTGCGTGCCCGTCTCAGGCTGGGCAGTCACCCTGGGCGAGGCCTGGCCACCTTCTCACCCAACTCCTAGGTCACTTGCACCCTGCGTGGGAAAAAAAGGGAGGATCCGTTTTTAGTAGTGGGCCAGGAGGACTGGGGAGGGCAGGGCTGCAGGAGTAGCAGGAGGGGCCTGGCAGAGTGCACCCACAGCCATGCCCAAGGCCCTGTGACTGCTCTGCCCGGCTGGGTGGGAGTCCCCCTTGGGTAGCTGCAGCCCTCCTGGTGCAGACCCCTGCCTTATGCCGCTCAGTCCTTTGTTCTGGGCCCAGACCATCTGTCCAGGGCCCAGACCCTCTGTCTAGCTGTCGACAGGACCCCTCCTAGGCGCACGGGCCTCTCAACCACAGCAAACCGAGGGCGGGAACCCCCTGCCTGGCGTCTCCTCTAGACCTGTGCACTTTGCTGGACCTGTGGGTCACATATCCTACATGAGGCCGGCGGGTGGCGTGGTGGTTAGGGCGCTGGACTCCCACATGGCCTATGATGGTTCCTGTCAGCTCCAGCCCTGCCTCCTGCGCTCTCTGACGACAGCCATGAGAACATATCACCATGAAGCTGGGCTCAGGTGACCACGACCCTTGGAACCTGTGTCTGGACACGGGAATCAGGCCGTGGGTGTGGGTCATGGGCACAAGTGACTTCCACAGCCTGCCCCCATGAGGTCAGAAATGCCTCCTAGGAACCAGCAGTTAGCGTAATGGCTATGTTGCTGGACTCCCATGTAGTCGACTGTGGTTCAAGTCCCAGACCCAGTGGCTTAGAACTCAAGCCGGGCGCGTGTGCATGGGTGCCCAAGATCCTGAGAGGAGAATGGAGGAGAAGGGATTGTGCCGTGGCCATCCCCCTGGGGGGTGATTTCTGGCTTTCTGTCTCTGTCTCTCTCTGTCTCTCTGGTGAGTGCACATGCCCTATAGCAAACACCTCTCAAACAAAAAACAAAAAAAAAAAAAAAAGAAAGAAAGAAAGAAAGAAAGAAAGAAAGAAAGAAAGAAAGAAAATAGCATAATGGCTATGTCGCTGGACTCCCATGCAGTCGACTGTGGTTTGAGTCCCGGAACCGGTGGCTTAAACTCACGCCAGGCACGTGTGCGCGGTTCTAGTTCCGGACCTGGTGGCTTAAACTCACGCCAGATGCGTGTGTGTGTGTGCCCAAGATCCTGAGAGGAGAATGGAGGAGAAGGGATTGCAGCGTGGCCATCCCTTCTAGGGGGTGATTTCTCGCTTTCTATATCTGTCTGGCGAGCGCACGCACCCAATAGCAAAAACCTCTCAAAAAAAAAAAAAAGAAAAAGAAAAAGAAAAGAAAAGCTGTTTCTAACTTGTTATGTAATTCCCAGAGTCACTGATTTCTCCCAGAAATAGGTCAGAAGCCTATTCCTGACCCCACAGGCCAACTAGGACTTCAGCTGGGTTTGGAAGAGACTGCCAATGAGCTGGCGACGCCGTCACAGACTGGGCCTGGATTGAGGGCTAGAGACTCGGCCCCGAGACAGGCGCTCCCTCAGGAGGATTCACACCGACGCAGCCAGGGCACACGCGGGACGGCCAGCTCTGCCCGTTCCAGTGGGACCTTCCCAGGTCGAGCTCTGAAGTAGCATGTCCTGGGGAGCCCCTGGCCCGGCACGGCTGATCGAGGGGAACAATTTCACCCCGTAGACACGGTGCTTTAAGAGCACAAGTGATGACCGCATCCCAGCAGCTCGCTGTGGGTCCGACGGACACAGCTGGTAAGAAGGATTTGAAGACCAACTGTATCTTTGTCTCGCAGGGGTTGTATCTGCAGGGGACACAGTCTACCCTCTTGTCCTAGAGGGAGTTCTCCGCAGAGCAGAAATTAGAATAGTCTATGCAAAATCGTACAAGTTTTTGATTTTAAAATTCTAAGGCTTTTACTAGCTTACTCTGACCATTTTTATCCCTTTTTAGAATTATTTATTTGAGGCCAGTAGGTGGTATGGTGGTTAAGGCACTGGACTCTCCCATGACCAACCACAGCTCGAGTCCTGACTTGGAGGCTTACTGTCTTGCTTTCCCTCTCTCTCTCTGTCTTTCTATGGTGAGTACATGTGCCCTATAGCAAATTTAAAATAGTAATTATAATAATAAATAAAAATTTCTTAAAGAATTTTTAATTTTTTATTTATTATTATTATTTTTAATTTGCTATAGGGTATAGGTGTTCACCAGAGAGAGACAAAAAGAGAGATGGAAAGTGAGAAAGCAAGCCACCAGGTCCGGGATTTGAACTGTGGTCAGCCCTGTGGGAATCCAGCACCTTAATCACCATGGTACTGGCTGGCCCGTCCAACCATTTTTCTGTCATGCTTCACCTGAATCTGCCATTGATCTGTCTCTGAGAGCTTGAGGACTTGGGGTTATGCCCAGGGAATCTGTCCCACAGGAGGACAAGCCCAGGGGTTTCTGCAGAGACAGAGCCAGAGCACCCGGCGGGAGACACGGGGAGACACACAGCACAGTGAGTACCTGATGCAGCAGGCCGTGGCCACAGCTCCCAGCAGGCTGGTCCAGGCCCTGCCCTTAGCCTCGGAAAGTCCTTTGTCTGAGAATGGCTCCCTGAGGCTAAGCAGGGGCTACACCTACTTCCTGTTTAGGTCACTGGGTAGGAGGGCCCTGGGGTGCTTGGCTTCCCTGGGGGATCGCACCCTCTCCCCTCCCGAAAGGTCATCCCACACACCTGACCTGTGGCATCTGGAGGCAGCCCTGGGCAGCTGGTTATCCCTACCTAATTTCTACTTCTAGGACCTTGGCTTCAGAAGCCCCTTATCTGTGAGCAACCTCCCAGGGCTGCCTCCTGCCTGCTATGGGAAGTCCCTCCTCAGTCTCGGGCCCACCTTGCCTCCCCTCTGGCTGGGCAGAGCAGGCCTCTGATGGAGCCAGCCAGCACCTCCCTCCACACAGCAGGGCCCAGGGAAACTGCGAAGGGAAAGGGGAAGTTGTTAGAGAGAAGTGTCCAGACCTGCTGAGGGCGCAGGGCAGGGGCCTCCCTCGTGTATGTCCAGGACGTGCCCACCATCCTCCTGAGCACTTCCGTTCCTGGCAGGACTCTGGCCTCAGTGAGGGTCGGGGTTTCCGGGCACAGGGGTCCATCTCTACCCTTCGGGGGGCAGGCGGGTGATCCTGTGCCCATCCTCCACCCAGACCCTCAAGTCCTCTGCAGCTTGTCAAGCTGGACAACAAAGCTCCCTAACTCGCTTGGCGATAACTTAGCTCCTTATGAGGGGCAGGCTCTTTTTCTAAGCCAAATGATAAGCCAAGAGAGCAAAGCAATTTCCGAATAAATTGGTTCTTTTTTTTTTTTTTTT